TGCTAACTTTATTATTGCCTTTTCTGTCCGACTAGTTGGGTGATACTAAAACAATTAGACCCTTCGCCCTCAAGGGCCACGGGTCAATAGCCCATGAAGCTTCGCCTCATGGGCTATTGACCCGTAGCCCTTGCGGGCTACGGGTGTAATTGTTAAGTAGTAATGTTATTGTAGATAGTCGTGCGTTTTTGTCATGAGCCCCTGGCACTCCCTACGTTTACAGCTCAAAATAAAGTTGCCTTACCTTACGTGTCTGTTGCTTAGCGACAACTTGGCAAATCGCTGTCACTCGAAGTATGCACAATATCGATAAAATGGTTAAATCAAAAAATATCTCAAATTAAGCGTAAAATGTCCAATATTGTTTGCCAAAACTTTGGCTGGAGTCGCCAGAAATCGTTCAATATTTAATTAAAGGTAAACAATAATTCCGCAAATTGACCCTGAGTAACAGTAGTTCCATTAGTGTTAGGGTATCGAGAATTCTCAAATGTAAATGTAACCCCTGAACACTGAACAGATCTTACACATCTTAATCCATGTAGTGATGGAGAGCCTAATATTGAAGCCCTTATACAGTATGTAGTGTTTTTGTTTAAAATGATTTTCTTGTCAAACAACACTCTAAAGCCGTAATAGCTGCATTGGTCGCTCTGTAACAGTTCTGAAGAAAATGTTCCAGTTTTCGACACCACAACTGAGGTGTTCTCAGTGTTTGTTAAGTCCAAGTCTACCGCGTAAGTATTGTTCTCGCTACCAAATAAGCACACTCCGAGTAGCGCAATATCTTTGCTGTCTATTGAGAAACTGATAGCATCATTTTTGTCACTGTAGAACCAACCTGTGGCACTTGAAGACCCAAATCTACGGCATCGTTGAATATCGCGGACAGAACCAGATCTTTTTGTTTCCGGAAAACCCACAGGAGGCCGAGTAGAGATTGAATTCAGATATTTGACAATATTGACGATTTCTTTTGGAGTTAGGATTTCACAGTCTAACACCACACTAGTAAAGTCTTCTTTCTTCAGTGTTGGGAAGCGTATTCCTTTAATTACTTCTTCTTTGAGTATTCTTCTTTTCGTTGCACCAACTGCTGCTAAACCTTGCCTCTCGCATTCCCTTGTTGCCCACAAGTCAACCGCTTTAAACAGCTCTATCTCTTCAATCGTGAGACTCTCTCTTACGACTACTTCTTCAAGTAAGGACCTCTCGATTGTTGCAAATACATCTGAATTCACAGCCTCTTCTGTTTGCTCATCGATCACTTCCCAGCATTGATCCACCAGGTTTTTCTCTTCAAATTTCTGAGCAGATGGTAGGATGCTGAAAACATTGGACGGATCTAAATTATCTTGCAGATATTCCACACATTTATCAGCCAGTGAAGGCAACATGTATTTTTTCGCCAAATACAACACTCCCATCACATTACTATGGTTCAAATTCACTTCATCACAGTACATGTAACGAAACAACTCCAACAGACTCTCGTATTCACAGTCAGGCAGTTCAATAGAATCTGTAGCCTCCGCCAGCTCACCGTAAAACATGGCTTCAAACACAGGACTGCTAATCGACAGCACAAACTTGTGCGCAGGAATCGCTTGTTTACTTACACTTTCGTGATCGGATCTGTGGACAACAAACTTAACATCGCTGAAAAGATTACTGTTGAACATAAACTTGCTTCTTTCTCTGATGCAGGGTCTTGTTGTTTGCCAGTTTCTTTCGACGACAAACATGATTTCTCCACTGAATTCAACGTAGTTAAAGCAAGAGAGTTTGAGGTTGCTAGACCGCGTGTAGATGCTGTGTTCGTGATAACTGATTGCAATGGAGTATATTCAAACAGAACTATTGTTACCCAGTCCCAAATGAATCAAAGAATGTTCCACCTCATTTGCAAACGCCGAGGAGAGAGTTGAAAAAATACGACGTGTAGCGGAGTACGTCTTGACGAACTTCGAGGTGTTTGGAAATGTAGTCAAACACTGTCTTGAGTGTTTGATAGATCGTCTCAATTGAAACAAAAACTAAGGAGAAAACGGAGAAATAAAGTCATAAAAATCTATGCTAATTAAGAACAGATATCCAAACACCGTCACGGTCATGATTTTCTTTTGTTTACTGAGTGTTTGGGAAAGACACGTGAACCTTTCCTCTGAAATAAAAGTGGCAATAGATTTTTGTTCAAACTTTGTCCTCTGAATATTTGTTATATGATAACTGCAATTTTAAAATAAAAAAGGGGGTGCCCATGCTCATTAAGGAGCAGTGAGGCATTGAAAATGCCCCATTTTGGCATTATTTAATGCTTATTATAAGAACGCATTACCAGCAATTGTTAAATCTTTGTGAGCCCCGACTCATAAGAACACGCATCAAACTACAGTCAATACATTGTGTCGGACGCAAATAAACATTTTAAGTTTGATTCAGACAGAAAGCTAAATCCTTGATTCAAAATTTGAACCAAATTTCTTGACGTGGTTACCAAACTGAAAAATAAAAAAGACCAGTGTATCTGCTATTTTTCTCATCTAATCAATTTTCAGCAATAGAAATCAGATCAGTCTTTTCTCACGCAAAGCTTATGATTAGTTGATTGCAATGACTGGAAAAAAAATTGGGGTACCCGTGCTCGTTGGTGAGCTAGAGCCATTTTTCAACTGACAAAACTCAATATCAAGGCAAATACGTCATGTTTTCAATATGCGCGTGCACGAGCGTGTGCTAATGACGCCATAAATTATGCGCAGTAAGGATGCGCGATGGAAATATGAGTTTCCAATCGATAGATTTTTAAAAAAATTTTACTGCAGTCAGATAATGAGTTACTTGCGTCAGAAAAGCAAAAAAATTGGGGGTCACCGACTTCGTTTCAGAGATAAAGCGTGTGGAAAACAACCCTGATTTTGAAACATTGGCGCACGTAATTCAGCATGGTCTACAGGGGTTTATAGTTAAAAATATCGACGGTGAGTCAACGGAGGCAAACGATCTTAGTCATATTTTGTAGAAGTGGTTCTGTTGCGTA